CACACACACACACACACACACACACAAACGCACACACACACAAACATATATTGCCAGTAACTGACAGATGGTCTTTACTTGCGCAGGGATATTGGCTACAATGAATTGGGAATCATTAGAAAAGATTTATTTACTGGCTTGAAGACGATGCTTTTCCTGTAAGCATTTAACATCTTTCCCTGTATGTGGGCGAGTGATGAAGAAAAATTATGGAAATTGAATGGTAAGAGAAAGGAAAGAAAAAAGGATAGGAATGGATAGAGAAGGAGGGGGAACATAGGAAAGGAGAGGAGAGAACAGAAGAAGAGTAGACGAGTTGAGATAAGGAAAGGGAAGGTAATATTAAGGAAAATTGAAGTAAAGAAAACAAGAGCATGCAAACAAAGTAAAAAAATGAGAAAACGAAATGAAAATTCAAGTATGCTCAAATTTGAATTAAAGTTTAACGTTAGGATAGTTAGGCCTGTCAATTTCCTCAATTTAGAAATGCAGTCAAATCGAGCATCAGATACATCGAGGACAATGCATTTCAAAAGAACAGTTGGCTAGGATATTTGTAAGTATATCAGTCGCAAAACGTTTTGTGGCCTTAATTAATATTGATTAGGTAATTTTTAAGCAATATACTATTTCCATCTTTAGATTCTTAGATGGCAACGAACTGACAAAGATTGGTAAACTCACCTTCACTGGGCTGCAATACATCTTGTACATGTAGGATGACATATCAAAATGATATATCGAGGCGGAGAGCTCTATATTTATTTTTCCTTGCCCTTGCCCTTGCCCTTGCCCTTGCCCTAAATAACTCTTAAATCTTTTTCAAGATAAAAGTATTATATTTTCTTAGAACGATGTCAAATAATCCTCTACAAGTGATTGAGGAAGGAGCCTTTCAACACATGACAGATCTACAAGCATTGTAAGAAAAAATATTTGCCTCTTTGGAAAGTAATGTATGACTTTGTAGTTCTAGAGTGAAGACGACGTATAGCCGCAATAGATACCTTTAACTATCATGCATACGTCAATAGACAATCAGCTCGCGAATAACAGGACTTTTGATGAGCTACTTTATGAAAAGTTGTCAGACACTTTTACTCAGGGGACAAGGTACTTAGGCTGTGTTGAAGCTACTCGCCACAAAGCACAAGCCAACCCATTTCAAGGAAACATTGCAAGTCCTAATGAAATCAAGGTCATCCTTGCGCATGCCTCGATGCAGTCAGCTGAACATTTGTGTTATCGTTTGAACTACTAGTCTCAAGGCAGGATTTTTTGATTCAGGTATTTAATTCAGACGAATATTCGCACAATCAACATCAACAGTTTTGGCTCTAAGTACCTGGAAATAGCCCAGTAAGTGGAATGAACAGATTTTACAGGAGATATTCAATTGTAGCCCTATCTTTAACTATCTTCCTCATTTCATAATTCATAGTTCTGACTCACCTTAGTTACCGTTGCTATCTCAGAAATATAAATCGTTTCAATAGTTTACTGTCCTGCGAAAAGAGTAGAAAATTGTCTCGTAATCCTTGTAGTACTCTTTAAAACAGATACTGTATAGTGGTTGTGGGACACCATTATAATTCCATTATTGGGAAAACTGCTGCAACAGTGATTGGTTTGCTATTGTCTGATTCGGAACTATGAATGACAAGCTCTGTAATCCCATGGCTACTTTATTGTGCTGTGAATATTACGGTTGTGAGGTTACGGCAAGCGACAAAAATGTGTTTGAGTAGACTATTAAGAAAATTGAAGCAAAAGGCATACTCGTACTACATAAAATGTATCATTAAATTTGCTCAACCGGCAATCCATTCAATCAAGACTTCAAACAATTCCAAAGTCTTTTTACGTGTTTTCTGCATTTCAGTTGAATAACAAGTTTTATTAACGTTGAATATTTATTTGTTGGTTTATAAATTTAACCATTTCTTAGCGAATCCGGGCATAAATAAAGAAACTTTCTGCCAGAGAGTGTTTCTATTTAGATACAAAAATTTCCCCACCCACTACTTTTGGCTCAGTCCTTTTAATAATATCTTCAACAGTAATTTTGGAGAAAACCTTCAAGGAATTGAAGTATTGGATCCGGAGCGAATTTTTCTTCAGTCTGCTGGTTACCGCTGTACATCGGCTACACATACAATCTGGCAGTTCTGCTTCCCTTGCCAACAAGGAGAATTCAAGATAGATGTTCGCGAACGTGGATGTCGAAAATGTCCACCAGGTGAGGCTAATTAATTAGTTAGATTGTACCCTGTGTCCTAGTGTACCCTGGGTTCCACAGGCTTTTCGCTTCAGTGCTTCTCGGTCCGTCTAGGTCGTGATAACGAAACCCTTACAACCGTGAAGCACTGGAGCGAGAGAGCTTCTGGAACCCAGGGTAGTTCTAGTGGTGAACCTTGGARATACCTTATGCCTAATACTCTAGTTTCGAGTTGTTTGTTGCTCAGGGCTAGCCGCTGTAAAATGAGTTCACGTGTTYCATTGAAGGTACGTGGAATTTCAAAGGGTTCTCATTTAGGAAGTTGTGTAATCTTTACTTCACTGTTGGTGAATATAATTTCTGAGTTAGGCCAAATCTGAAAGAATGACTTTGCAATCGAGGAAGACAGCGGTATTCTGCGAATTCAGTGATCCAATCATTAAATTTTAAGAATTATTATTATTATTATTATTATTATTATTATTATTATTATTATTATT